TCAGGATGGAGTCGCCTATGACGAGCACCCGGTTTCTCTTCTTCTGGGTCAGCTTGCCTCCTTCAGCCTGTTCTGCGCGTAGACTGGCTCCCTCTCCAGAGGTGTCCTCCTCTCCTTCCTCTTCCTCCAGTGCCGCCAGGGCCTCATGCCTATTCCCCAGCTGGACTGGGGGAACTCGTACTGCACCTCTGCGAGCAGCCCCGGCTCTGGAGGGAACCGTCTGCCATTCCGCTGTGGAGGGCACATCCTGGGGTTCTTCTTCCTTTGGTGCTTGGCCCTGCAGGGAAAGGAAATACCCATCAATTTCATCCTCTGCTTCTCCGATCCCCCTCAGCCTGCTAACCTCCTCCTGGAGCTCCCTCACCTACCCCTCCAAGGCCCTAAGATGGGCACCTGCGGGATAGGTGTGGGGGCTTCCATCCCCTGCGCCCCACCGGGCATCCCCCTCAGGCCAGGGGGCAGGGTGACACCAGCCCCCCTGTGGGCTCGGTCTGGGTGGAGGCCTCAGAGAAGCCCCGGGTGGGTGGCGCCCCCTTGGCAGGGGCCCTAGCTGCACTCCATGTCCACACCATTTTTAAAATTTTATTTTATTTTTGCCTTACCCTTGCCAAAGACTTCCTCCTCCTGGCCCCTCCTGCTTGCCCACCTGCGCAAACGCCGCTGCACCCTTACAGAGCATGCCTGTTTGTGTGCTCTGTTCGTGCGTGGCTCCCTACCGGCTCAACTAAAAGGGGTCTGGGGGGCTTCCGCTCTGGATTTGGCTCAGCTGCTCCGGCTCCTTCTGCCCCACTTACCTTATAGAGATCAGCTGCTGCCACCCCCATTGCTGCCTCCACTGTTGCGTCTGCATCCGCCTCCGGTAAGGTAAGGGGGCACACGTGTGTGCGGGGCCGCATGTGTGCCCAGCTGCCTCCTCTGCTCTCCTCTCAGTTCCTGACTCCTCTTGTGTGTCCCTGCACCTGGACTCCTCTTGTAATTGGGAGGAGTCCAGCTGCAGCTCCCCCAGGTGACTTTGGTTTGGGGAGGGGAGCATGGGATGAGGGGGTTCCCAGCAGTTAGATTTTTTTCCCCCTGTCTCGAGGAAGATTTCTACCACTGCATGTCTCCCAGAAAACATCACAGCAAATTGTCCCAGAAATTTGCAGCGGTAGAAATGGATGCTTGCCCATGGCCTGAGTAACAATGCACTTGTTAATCTGTGCTGTTAAGGGGGTAGTCTTAACCTTAAAGTCCACATAATCTTAGATAGTTTTATTTAAGTGTTTGAAGTTTTTCAAGTGTGGTGTAATGACAAGACCAAATTAAAAGTGCCTTTTTTTGAAGTCTGTTTTGTTTCATAGACCAACTTTCAGGTACCTTCTTCAGGTTTGGCTACTTAAACAAGCTTTTGGGTTCCATGTCCCTACCAACTGTACTGTGGGCGCATCTACACACGCCCCTACAATGCCGTTGTTACTGTGCCATCGTTTAGTACTTCTTTTTGCAAATGCTAAATGACAGCGCAGTAACAGCCTGCACTGTGCCGTGTGCACAGTTAGATTTAGCTGCTGTCACCATATAATGTGCTATACTGAGGGAGCACATCGCTATAGTGACATAGCTGCAGCGTCATGGTTTTTGCCTGCAAGTGCTATACTATGGCAATATAACACAATAGCGTTACATGTAGACATGCCCAGTTGGTCCAATAAGATACCACCCACAAAAATCTTTGCTTTTCACACTTTTCCTGGACTGTCTTGGCTACATCACCTCAGTACTACCAGTTTTTGTTTTGCAATTCTTTGTGAAGATACTCAAATATGTTTTTGATACTCTGATACTTTTTGGAACGGTTGTGTCAACATGTTACCCTTTTGCTGCTATTAACTGCATTCTTTTTGAGACAAGCATAAACTAGAATTTATTTTTTCAAGATGTCAAGGTTAGTAAACAAGTTAAGGGCTTGTTTAAAAACAAAACAAAAAAAAAATAGAACACAGGAGCTACAACCTAGCTGACAGAGAGATGTCCACATTCATTTGCTATCCACCCACTCAGCAAGGAGGTTCTCTTCTACTAGAGCTGTTGCCTTGTCACTTTCACACCAGAATGCATTGTGGGTTTGAAGAGTGATGCCTCATGTATTCTAAAATGCTTTTGAAGTACTTAATAACACCATTTCTTTTTTAATCTACAGTGAATACTAGAAATGTGCCAGATTATTTTTGTAAATCTGTGCTGAAATCTGTTTTGCCTATGAGTTGCTCAGTATCAGCCACTTTTTATTTGCTTTGAAAATTTCAGAATTTTGGAGCAGAAAAAAGATGGATCTCTAACAGTTAGTGTAATTAATCTTTTGAACATTTTACTATGAAATGTAGCCAATTCTTAGTAATTTGAAATCTCTAGAAAGTTATCTAGTTGCAGATATTAATGGGTGAGGTCCTGTTAGGCATGAGGCCAGGTTATGTTACAATAGTTTCTTCTGGACTGGAAGTCTTATTTGTATGTTTTCAGAGAAGTGTTTTTCTTTAACACTTAAGTTTCATTTGTAACATCTGATGAAGAAGGTTGCTACCTGTGGAAACTCATGCCTCTCTAAACTGATTAGTCTCTAAGGCACAGGCCGGTGCTACCTTGTGCCCTAATGCTTTTCAGTAATTGTAATGGGTATCTCATGGTTATGTGTCTAATATCTTTTGGCACAAATAGTTTTATATTTATTCATGAGTTAAGTCTAAAGAAGTTTTTGTGTACCAAAGAACAGTCAGCAATGGCATAAATCAAAAAAGGGTGAATTTGCATTTAAAATATGTACAACTGGTTAGTGTCATCTTGTTATCATCTACATGAATATATTTTAAGTGTTACATATCTGAATAGCAAAATACAACTTGGAGAGAGAACTTTTGGAAAATAGTAGGTAAAGCACAAAAATACAGCTTGTTTTTATTCTGGATTATTTTCAAAAAGATGAAAAAGGTCTGTTCTGTAACAATGTTAAATGAGGAATTACTGTATTTACTTGAATATCAAATGACCCAGATTATAAAATGACCGTATAATAAGTAGATTCTGTATATGGACAACCTATAAATTTGTTATTTTTTCCAGGTATAGAATCTAATTATTGGAGGTTTGCCATGAATTTGTTCCCTTCCCACTGCTACAGGAAGGAAATTAAATATGAGGGATCAGGTCACCCTCTTGCCCTCAGCCCATCCCCTCCACCCCAGCTTCTTTCCCTTGCAGCCTCTTCCTTTTTTCCTTACTTTCAGGTTCTGCTCTCCCTGAGCGCATGAAAGTGAAGAACAAATTTGAAAAGACTAACCTAAACATAAACATACTTGTAGAAACTTGCATATAGGAAGTTACTACAGGTACCCATAGACTTAGTTTATCCAGAACAGATGCAATTTACCTTTTTTAAACCTGTTGCAAGTTTTAGTACAGGTACTCCATAACACACTTTTAAGCAGCACTTCTGTACCTACTGGTATATAGTACAAACTATGCATGGCATTAGTCCAAAGCCAAAAGGCTCAGTGATTTCCATATAGTTCATTGGGCTAGGCCACAGAAGAGTTAATAGCATTTCAGCCCCACAACTCAGCACTGTTCAGTGTGTGTGCTTGGTCTAGATCCACACCCCCCTCCGACCCATGTGCCAGTTAGCCCCCCCACTTATGACTGGTATTGGGTGTTCTTGTCATGAGTCCTGGGGTACTCCAAAGATTTATATGCAGATGAGTCTGGTCTTGCTCCATCTCATGGAGGGTGGGGCCACACTAATCATATGCAGTAGCTGAGGGGGATGAGAGGGGGATTCTGGGTAAGCTGTATAGGGTCCTGTTCAGTAATGTTTGCCAGCCATTTAAGGCTGGTTGAAAACAAGGAATGTTCAGCTCAGCTGTGACAGTGAAGGAGAAGTTGAAATATATTCAGTGTAGTGGCTTACCATGACTTGAAAAAGAGTCGGTGCTGAGGAGAACTGCATGCGATGGGTGCTATCATAAATCTTATTCAGGGGGTTATACTAACCCAGAGGTCCACAACCCCTGGGCTGCAGCCGGGTAGTAGGCCATGAAGGGTTGGCAGCCGGTCCGCAGGAGGGTTGGCTGCCAGACGGGAAGTCCAGAAGTGACTGGCATATGTGAATTGGCAGCCAACTCCTCTTTTTGTTTGTTTGTTTGTTTTGTTTTGTTTTTATACCTTGTATAAGAAAGGGTTGGCTGCTGGCTTGCAATATGCTGGTCACTTCTGGTCTTCAGTATGTTTGTCTGTGGTCACTTCTGGTCTGCAGTCTAAAAAGGGATGGGTTAGTATAGTGGTTCCCAACTTGTTAGTTCCCATTGGTATGTTTGTCCTATATCAGCCATGTGTTTTATAGTCATGCTCAGTGTTGGCTGAATTTTAATTAACTTCATAGTTGGTTTTCATTGCTGAGTATGTGCTGCTTTTGGCAGCAGCTTAATGATAGATGATATATTTAGTGTGGCTTCCTTGTATGAAAATATAAGATGGAGGGGCTTCCTCCTTGCCCTCTCCCCCATATTGATTGGGTGGGGAACCTAGTTTTATATATGAGTAAGTACAGCATGTACTGAAATTAACATTTATTTTTCTAATGTCCCAAGCCTTCAGTGACCTGCTAGACCATAGATTTTTAATATGTTTGTTGTGAGAAATATTTTATTGTATTTAGGGACAAAATTAATTACTTTCTGTTCTTAAGGAATATTTATTTCCAGTTTGAGCGAATTTATAATTTTCCTTGTTTGCTGTGCATGACAGCATACCATTTTCCATGAATTCTGTCATTCTGTTTCTCCACCTCAAAATTAGTGGCAGGAACAACAATTTGTAAGTTTCCTTTCAGTTGATGGTGGGGGACCTCATCTTTCAGATTGGATCAAATTGCCCTTAAGGTCTTTCGGTTTCCATAAATGACTTTCAGTTGCACTTAATAATACTATCCCTCTTTCTCTTGTTTTTTTTTTCTTTTTCTGTTTTTAAAGTTAAAGCAGTCCTTAAAAAGAGAGAGTATGGACCAAAATATACACAGAATAATTTCATCACTGGAGTGAGAGCGATAAATGAATTTTGTCTTAAATCCAGGTACAGTAGTTTGAGTTGAAATTATAGCTGTTTAGATATTTTTTGGTTTGTGAAGATGTTTTTCAAAAATGATATCTGGTGCATATGAATGGCATAACACTGTTATAATGGATGTATGACATTGTAGTCCAGGTTGGCATATCTTCTGAAAGGTGGCTAAGTTTCAAGTTAATTATACCATGGTGACTGATTTGATTAGGTTGATATTTTCTCTTTCCTAGAGAGAGAGTGTGTGTGTAAAATCACTTTACTCTTTGTAAAGTGTACAAAGGTGTGTGTGTGTGTGTGTGTGATTTTACCCAACACCTCCAGCTAGGGTTTACCCCAAACATCCAAATTAGTCTGTAAGCAGGAAGATGGGTCAGAGCAAGCACCGTGTTAAGACAGGACGTGCCCACTTCACACACTAGCTCCCAAACTGAAAGCAGTTCATTGCATTATTGCAGCACGGTGCACAGACAAATCCATTCTAAGAAGCACTATGCAAATGCAGCTATATTGCCTTCAGTTTGGAGCAAGCATAACTGTACCCCATCATTTGTCTCCTGTGGGGCTGCACCAATCGCATCTGTTAAAGTAAAACATTGGTAGCTAAACACCACAGCAACAGGATTAATGCAGCCTGAGAGGTATTATTATTGAAAAAATGGGTATGTCACCTGGGTATTGGGGCTAATCTCTTTAGCTTTTTCTAGTGTTAGGTGAACTTTAATTTCCAAATAGGTAGCCACCAAAGAGGATTAAGAGGGAATGTTTTTTAATTTATTGTCTGAAGAGTGACTTGCATACAAATGCAAGTCACATGACCATCAAAAGCAACTTTAAATATTGCTTGTTATAGTTTTCATTGCTATTGAACTTTTAAGTAAAAAACTCACAAAACCCCTAAATTTAAGTTTTATGTCCACTTCTTTAAACTTACAAAACTGAAGAAAAAGGTAGTACAGTGAAAGCTCTGTTATCCGGCATCCCCTGGGAATGGGGGATGCCGGATAACAAAATATGCCGGTTAATTGAGCGGCCTCGGCCGCCGCTTCTCCCATCACCCCTCTCGCTGCATCACCGTCCCTCTTGCGGGCTCTGTGGGCCCCATGGGACAGGGAGGCGGGCCTCGCACAGCCTGTCATGCTCCCAGACCGTGGCGGCTTGGCAGCGCAGACTGCTTTGCCCCAGGCCATGGGGGCTCAGAGAAACTGGAAGTGCCGTGGTGGATGCTTCCGGTTTCACTTTATCTTACAAGCCGGCATGCCAGTTAACAGAGCATGCCAGCTTGTAAGATGCCGGTTAACAACTTTTATTGTATACCATTTTGGTTACAGAATGTATCCTATTTTTAAGTAAGAATAAATATATTTGAACTTTTACATTATGTGTCTTATGTATAATAGGGACTTGACTTTTACTAGCGGTAATCTATGCCCATTTTTCCTTAGTGATCTGGAACAGCTGAGAAAAATTAGACGACGAAGTCCCCATGATGACACTGAAGCTTTCACCGTGTTTTTACGATCAGATGTAGAGGCAAAGTAAGAATCTCTGGGGGGTTTTTTTAATGGAATAATTTGGTTTATTTAATTTGGATTATTTAAGAGGATAATAAATACTATATAATTTTTGATAACCCTTCTTATGAAAGGGACGGTAGTATTTTTTTCCTGTTCTGTATTGCTAAACCATTTTGTCACCCCTGTTGTTGTAGCTAGGAGTCATGTACAGAATTGAAGGCTACATTGTACGTTTTTAAAAAGAGATCTAATGTTTCTTTGTCTGAAAGGTTTTTATCCATGAGATTAACTTTTGGAGTTTCCTCTTGGAGCAAATGTTGGTCAGCCATTATGCTTCCCTGTTAGACAAGGCTTGTGTAATCAAAAACTGTTTAGAGAACTTCCCCATATATTGTTACATGAAGATTAATTTGTGTAAATCAAAAGAATTACCAAATTATTCACTTGTATTTTGTGCAGGTCCCTAGACGTTTGGGGTAGCCCAGAAGCTCTTGCTAGAGAGAGAAAACGACGTAAAGAAGCAGAGATAGAATACAGAGAAAGTAAGTGCAATTTTCAGGTATCTACAAATGCTTTATGGATTACTGAACTCCAGTTTTATAATTTTTTTAGGAAGATGTGCATTGATGTGAGGGTGATGTGTTAACAGACATATTTGTTTTGAGGTAGAGATCTCACTCCAGAGTGCTAGCATAAGAAATACTACACATTCTTCTCAGAATAAAATGCATACTGACTGCATTAGATACATACAATGTTCAGGTTATTCTTAATGGAAACTTTCTTGCTTTTTTGTGGATAGAAGATAAACATCTTAATTGGTTTTGAAGAATGATTTGCCTCCTGTGTGGGGAATTTTCACAAATTCTAACAACCGAACCCAGTGTTAAATCCTTGCTTTATCTGTTTTGTGTTGTAGCACTTGTTTGGCTACATGTTATCTGGTTATTTTGATTATTAACTTTTAGCATATAAAGGTTTATTGTATAAGTCAGAACCTAGAAAAAGGTCAAGAAATAGTGCGAAGACTCGGTGTACAGAAAAAAAATTTCCACTTGCAACATACAATTTATCACATTGTTTCTATAATTTGGAGGTGATGCACGTTTCTTTTAATTGTTTTAAATGAATAAGCCCCTCTCACTTTTCTGGGGCAACCTGGAAAGGGCAAGATATAAATTATTATTGTTTAGATTTATATTATTAATGATATATGTCATAAACTGCCATATCATATATATTAGGTCATTTGTTGAGCAGTGTGCCGAAGGAAGGAGAACTGATTTGTAGGGCTGTATGAAACGGCAGTGTTCCGTTTTGACCAGTGTTTCGACGTTTTGACGGAACAGTGTTCCGTTTCGAATTTTGTTTTGATTCGAAACAGCTGTTCCGTTCTGTTAAAACAGTTTTGCCGTTTTGACGTTTCGCCCATAGGATATAATGGGGAAGGACAAAACAGGCTATAACCTTGTCATTTCTGGCTTGATGTGGATGAAACTTGCAGGAATGGTAGCCCCTTCTGAGGGCGTGAAGCCTGCCAAGTTACAAGCAGATAGGTACAGGGGTTTGGGGGAAATTTTACCTCAAGCTGTGCACAAGCAAAACTCGTGACATGGGTGACACTGTATGTGTTAAGGTGCTGCAGGGATGCGAGCCCCTGCTGAGGCCACGAAACCTGCAAGCTGTCACGGAGATAGGTGCAGGGATGTTCTGGGACTTTGCACCTCTAGCTGCTGACAGGCAAAACTCATGACATGGGTGCTTGTGCAAATGAGTGTATCTGTCTTGGGGCAGAGGGGGGTGAGAACTGCAGGCCTGCTAGGCCGTGCTGCGGCCACGATGTTGGCTACAAAGGACCAACTCGCAGGATCATCATAAAATTCTAGTTTATTAGACGGATGCAAAAGTCAGATCATAAACCTTGGGGCTGATCCCCCTCAAATGTGCATTCACACGTGTGTGTGCGTGCGCGCTATCTAGCTAGCTATGAATACTAAGCACTGGTGCTAACAATGTTATGTGGTACAACTTTTAAACAAAGTACATTTGTTACAAAGTTAAGGTGTGCTTGTAATAAATATATTTTGTAGGTGCTTTTATGGGTGTAAAATAGTATTCTGCATCACTGTCTCCCCCTCATTGTATTTAGTCTATTTGTTGTATGTGCCATGGCATTTTACCCTTTTTATATTTTATGCTTTTTAACTTTGTAACTAATGTACTTTGCTTAAAAGTAAGTTGTACCATATAACAATGTTGGCACCAGTGCTTAGTATTCATAGGTAGCTAGCTAGTGTGCGCGCACATGTGTGTGGATGCACGTTTGAGGGGATCAGCCCCAAGGTTTATGATCTGACTTTTTGCATCCATCTAATAAACTAGAATTTTATGATGATCCTGCAAGTTGGTCCTTTGTAGCCAACATCGTGGCCACAGCACGGCCTAGCAGGCCTGCAGTTTTCACCCCCCTCTGCCCCAAGACAGACACAGTCAGTTGCACAAGCACCCATGTCATGAGTCTTGCCTGTCAGCAGCTATGGGTGCAGGGCCCCAGAACCTCCCTGCACCTATCTCCTTAACAGCTGGCAGGCTTCATGGCCTCAGCAGGGACTAGCATACCTGCAGCTTTCACCCTGCTGTGCCTTAACACACACAGTGTCACCCATGTCACGAGTTTTGCCTGTCCTCAGCTTGAGGTACAGTTTTTCCCCAAACCCCTGCACCTATCTCCTTGAAACTTGGCAGGCTTTGTCGCCTCACCAGGGGCTAGCATGCCTGCAGTTTTGATCCCACTGTGGCTTACAAGGGAATTGTACAAGGGAATTACACATACAAGGGAATTTTGCTTGCACCCCAAAGTCTTGAAGTTTCCCTGAACTCCGTGCACCTATCTCCTTGAAACTTGGCAGGCATCATGCCCTTAGAAGGGGCTGCCATTTCTGCAAGTTTCATTCAAATCAGGCCACAAATGACAAAGTTATAGACTGTTTCAACCTTCCCCATTATACCCTATGGGTGAAACTTCGAAACAGCGTTGAAACGGCAAAATGTTTTGACTTGCCTCGTTTTGTTTTGAGGCTGTTTCGGCAATATCTGTTTCATTTTGATTTTGCTGTTTCGACTTTGAAACAAGTCTCTGGAAGGACTGGCCAGCTAATTTAACTTTTTCAGTTGTGCAACTTAAAATTAGAGGTCTGTTGTAGTTCTTGGAAGTAATTTTAGTACTGAATTAAGCTGAAAGCATAAAAGGGCCTGATCCTTTAGGTATTTCTGTACTTGTATAGTTTAGCTGTGTGTAATTCCAAAGAGAGACAAAGTAATTTATCCCTATACTTTATGTACAGGTTCCAAGGATTGAAAATGTTGAAAGATTTGGGCAGGTGATTTCAGACTTGTAGCCTGAAAAGCCTAACTGTTGACAAAAAGTTTCTAGATTTTAATCTGAAGCAAAGCAGATTTCCTTAAAAAAATGGTGCTAGGATGTTGCTGGGTTAATACAAATTGACGGGGTTGAAACTCTTTGTATTCGAAATGGTGACTGCTTTTCATGTAGCCTGAACTTCTCATGCTTGCTTGCATTCCCTCTTTTTTTCATCCTCAGTTTCAAGGTTTTGGGGGCAGGGACCATCTTGAGCAGTCTACATTTGTACAACACTGTATAGGACTTTAGGAGTTTTGATCTCATAGAGCAGTATGAGTTTCTCATTTGTTACACATTCATATGGGAATGGAAGAGAGAAAAGGGTTTTGTTGTTGAGCGCTGAAGAAAGAGAGAGAGAGAATCTGATGCAAGCTCCTCTCCCCTGTGCCAGGTGAAAAGAAGTGAGCACAGCAAAACAGCTTTAAAAGCTCTAGATTCACTGATCAAAAAATTTTCTTGGAATGGTAACTTGGGAACCTAGGAAACTATAATACATTTCCAATCTCAAGCCCTGGTATATGGGTCATGTCAGGAATGCAAGAGGGTTCTTCTGAGGCACGGGCATAATGCACAGATCTCTAGAGGTTTCTGGTCAGTGCTGGGACAGGCAGATGTATTGTCTATTATTATAAGTACTATGAAAAAGCCCAGAATCTGGTGTGTGTGTGTGTGTGTGTATAAAGGTGGTTGAAAGCCCCTTTTTCTGTTGAACTGTGAATTTAGTACTGTACCTCTTAAGCACAGAATCTCCTTCCTGAGACTTAAAATTATTTGTCAAGCTTTGTAATTTATGCAATGAGTAAAATAAGACATTTGCCAGTGTTTGATTAAGTAGATAGGTACATTTTCAATGTCAGTGCCATTTTTACCTTGTTCCTGGACTCCATTAAGAAAAGAAAGATCCCTATTAATACGTGTTAGCTTGACAAGACTTCACTGTTTAATATAAATATGTTGATATATCATAGCAAATTTATCTGAGTTGTCTATGAGAAGTAACCATGGAAATGATTTTTCAGGTTTTCAAATGTAAGTGCTATATTTAACTACAGTTGTTGTATCATAGATTTGTTTAAAAATCAGAAGTTACTGAAGGAATACAAAGTCTTCTTTGGAGACACTAAGGTAAGAATTAGCTTAATTCCTTTAGTTAAAATGTGCTGACTTGTATGGTGTTACAGCATATTTCTAAGAAAATGTTTGCAACAATAGTAGAACTTGGTAGATCTTGCAGGAAAGTGTAAATGCCAGAGGTTACTGCACAGTTGGGCATATGTGTAAATACCTAAATATATTATTTTATATCTGCTTGTAATGAAGCATTAAACTTTTTAGCATTACTTCAGTGATGGTTTTAAAGCCCATTTAATGGCCACTAGAAGAGAGCTTTGTACAGTTGCATTCCCATCTGTGATTCTACCTTTTGGACTCTGAATATGTACAATGCAGAATTCACTGTTTAAAAAAAAATCAAATTAATCTTTTATTTTTATTTCAATTCCTCTTTGTCTGGTTTTGATTTTTCCCAACATCTGTTGCCATGCTTGCTTTCCTCTCTCCTTGCTCTAAACAACTTTATGGCTCCTTTCATGCAGAGAGATTCCTTATTCTGTGGGTCTCTTGTTTCTGTTCCTGGTTAAACAGGCTTGTGGTGGAAGCTTCTGTGCTTGCTTATTCTTCATTACGGTTCTTTCTAATGGCATGTATTCTTGGCTATGCATAACACCAAGGCCCATGTTAATTGTGGCATAAATAACAAGTGTGCTCATATGTACCAATTTAAGATGCCTTAAAATGGCAAACTAGCCGTAACATTGTTCCACATATAGAACAACTTTGACTGGGTTGACAATCAGCTGATTGTTGGCCCATGCTGGGGACTGCACTGGAGGTCTGGAACCAGCTCCCATGCAGTCCCTGCCGGGCTGACCACTGATTATTGGCCCCAGTCCTGGACCTGTGGCCACCTTGCTTTCAGTTTACTGGTTTAGGGAGAGCGTGGGCTTATGAACTGGCAAGTACGGCATCACTGAGATCTGATCTCAGAATCATGCCTCCTGCCATGTACGTGTGGCACAACTGTTGGGATTGGGGATCCTATCATATGGTGCATTTAAGTGAACATCTGTTAGAGTCCCAAATGGTACTTTTTAATGAGTTGTCTATGGTAACAACTACAGAAAGTTTTATAAATGTATTATAATTGTCCATGTTTAGAAACTAATTATTGGAGGATTGTCTTAAATTAGTCTTTCCCTGCTACTGCACATGGTTGGGGGAGAGGTGATGACGGGGGCAGGTTGGGGGTGGGCATGTGGTAGGGCAG